GGGGGGGGGGGAGCGATAGAGAGATGAAATAAAAGATTGCCCATTTTTTTTTCTATTAAGTGTCTCTAGTGAAAATTATTAAGGTTGGTAGCCTCGTTTGATAAGGGGCTGACATTGATTTTCGGATCGTTCTCACGGCCCTTCGACCAATCACTTTCAACCCCTACGTAGAGTATAGGGCGCTGCAGACTGTTGTCCAAAGTGTAAATCGATATCGTGGACTGTTCTTCGGATACAGCTTCACGAGATTAGCCGACAGTCGGAATGGTTGGGTGCAAATCCCAAAATATACCTTTGGGACGAAACCTGTCTTACACTGTATTACATATATACCTACGTACGTACAGACATGTATATATGTATATTAAGGGTAGAGATCAAAATTTTCGATAAAATTCGAATTAATGTTTCTTTACATAACTGAAGTTCGTGCAGCTTTAATGGGTTACGTTATTTTGATATTTCGAAATTTCAATTTTTTTTTTTTTAAACTATGTTTTATCCATTATGGTCTCTTTTCATTGATTTTTCTTTCCTGTCTTTCTCTTTTATGGACTAAAGTAGTATATGGTATCTCTTTTTTTTTTTTCCTTTGGCTATTCTATCTTCGTCCCCTCCAAAGGCTCTTACCGTCCGATCGTCTTTTCGGTTTAATAATTTGCATTTATCATTCTCCCTCGCTCGTCGCTCGCTGCTGCGAGAGCTCGGCGATATCAGCAGTCGACGGATGCATTGCCCCGGAAGAAAAGGCATTTGGGTATATAGGAGCACTTTCATCGAAGAAGGTCTTATCGGCGTAATTAACCTCTCGGGAAGGGCAGTGGTGCAATTTTTATTCAATCTTCCTCATTGTAAGCCTTGGGTGAGCCTTGCGGATTATCAACGTCATACTTGCGAAACGTTCAGCTTCCATTTTACGGCACGGACACGCAACGGAATATACATATGAATGACTATGCAGATACGCCATTTGTTTTATTATCTCGAAATGCTCGTAAGTGCATTACATTATGCAACGGCAAATGGGGGTAATGGGCAAACGTGATTATTATAATCGCGTTGTATTTGCAAGGTTTGCTCTGTGTCGCTAAATGTAGATCGACATGCTTGTTATCATTATTGGTTGCAGTTAAGGGTATGTACTACCTATTCTATGGTACAGTAATTTATCAATTATACACATATGTACATATTACTCACAAGCTCGTCCACGAAGATCCCAAATTTTCAACGTCCGATCATGACTGCCCGTCACCACTTTCGACGGTTCCCCAAGGAACTTGGCCGCCATTACTTTCCCGCAATGACCCGTGAGTGTGTGCTGCAAAGAAAATTTTGCATATTCTACATACAAATTTTATCTATTTCTTACAGCCACGTAATGCCTACGTCTTAGTCTGTGCGATTACTGCGGTTCATTAGGAGCTCATCGATGCAGTAATAATTTTGCAAATTTTCCAAGCGTCCATAAACACAGAAAGGGAGGGTTATGCTAAAGGGGATAGAATAACATTAATTGGAACTCAGGAACGTGGTATGGCTATAGACGTATATGCCTATGTGGGATTCGAATGACACCTGTCAATAAGTCATTGGTAAATGATATCGCTGTCGTCGCGAACAATAAAAGGAACAAGTATCGATTTCCAATTAATGCCGGATACTTCACCGTCACGTGGGACGTATATACGCCCGTAACCTTTGACGTTCGATGGAAAATTTTCCTAAAGCACAGTCGATCCTGGTTATTATTCATCGACGTGAATATCTTACCAGAGTGCATACAACGTAAATTGGAAAAAGTACCCGGGAGTTCGTTATCTGGGTATCAATTTGATTTGATACGACACTCACGTGATATCGGAGTCGACTTGTATTCATCCATTGAAGTACTGTATGTATATAGACGGGAAAGTGTAGAAAATCTAATGAACACTATAGAGAAGACGTCATTGAAATTCGCGAGAGGCATAAATTTCGCATTTCCATGCAACCCACAGTCATTATATATATACATACATTTGGCGATCGAGTAAATGGCTGGAGGGGAACGATACATAAATTTTACCGTAGTAAAGGAATACGTCGTTTAAAAGAGCTCGCATGGGTATACACAGTCAATTTCATTGTGGGATCCCTTTTCCTTAATGTTTTATTCGCGGCCCTAGTTTCCGGCTTTCGAGTACGGGTAAGAAATTTGTATTCGTCCTCGGCAAGAAACGGCAAACCCGTCGGGGCCTACAATTCCTTCGGCCACCCCTGGCCGGGAGAAAAAGCCGGTTCACACGCACCAATTTCAAGCCGAGACGCCACCCGAGGTTGGACGCTTTGAGAAATGTCCTAATGTAAATTAATGATCCAGAAGCTGGGGCGCGGAACGATCGCCGGAACAGCATAGCAGCTTAAATGCATAGACATATATATGTATATATAAAGTATAATCCTAGAGATACAAGAAGGCTCATCGGTATCTACTACGAGGAGTGGAACACGGCTCACAAAATCTAATGTCCTGCGAACCTTATCAGTTCTGGAAGCTGACTATATTATCTCTGTAAATTTTTCATAGATCTTTTTTTTAAAAAAAAAAAAAAAAAAAAAGTTAAACGATCCTCTGGTTATCCTCGTCGATACGGCCCTGACGTTTAAGGACGTCCGTTAGCCTTGTCCTGGGAACCTTTAGCTGCCGGTGAATATCGACTTTATGGATCGGATAACGATATTAATGAGAATCCAGGGCTATTCACGCTGATCAGCATCATGGATGATACGACCTGGACCATTTCCTGTGGATCTTAGGTAATAATTTTCGGGCTGGCTAACTACGAACAAGGAGCACGACTTCGAAAACGCTGACTTACGGGATTACGCACGGGAGAGAACGTTGGTGTTATTTGTTCAGGGTTCCCTAGGACGGTCCGTCATATTATATTTTGTCAGTCGCGCAACCTTTCACTCGGCCCGAAGTGGTCGTTGGGACAAACGATATGGGGATACCGGTATTTACTATTTTTCTTAGACGTTTCAACGAGGCCGTCGATCTGCTCGAAGGCAAGGCTTTATTGATCTGTATTTGGGAACGGCGTACCGGTAGCCGTGGGGATAAGTGCCAGAAAAGATTTTATCAAATCTCGGATAACATTTATAACTGGCACTCTGCCATGTACATCTGTTGCTTGTTGTTTTATATGAATTTTACCGCGATTTTAGATGGACTTTCAAATTACACGATATAACTATAGACTCGATACCATAACATTGGCTTTACGAGTTGAAGGCGCAGCTGCGTAAAACGTGCGTGACTCTTTTATCTCATCGCTCCCATAAACGTATAAATTCTTTCGTCCAAGAGTGTCATTCGTGAGAAGAAAAAAAAAAGAAGAAAAAAAAAAATCTATACACGCCGTCTTCACCTCACGGCACATTAAACACGGGTACAATTAAGTCCGTTATAATGTGAGAGAGCAAAAGAGAGAGCAAGGGTGTATATATAAGTAGCGTCGAATCGTGAAATTACATTGTCCATCTTTTTCTACCAAAAATCAACCGCTATCGCCACACTGTGTGTCCTCGTACCGAGAAAACAAGCAGAACTCGATGATTCGTACGCGTGGTACCTCAGCACGCGACAATTTAACGATAAGTTCGCCGAAGTCGTTCGTCGAATATCTGACCGGAGCGAAGACGCGGAGTGCGAGATTTTTATTTATTAAGTACGTTGCTGTGGAAGGCGTTAAAAGAAAAAGCAATAGCACGGAGCTCGGTCTTGATTTGCTTTAATATCGAAACAGGAGGAGTGGGGGGGCGGCGGCGGCGGCGGGTGGTGGAGTCGAGGAGTGAAAAAAAAGGGGGATGAAGTAGGAAATAAGAAAAAAAAAGGAAATATCATCCCCTATCACTTTGAGAGGGTAGGAAAGGTCTCTCTCGTGAATATCCAGTATACCTACGTCAGGATCTATTCAGCATCCGCTTTTTCGCGTTTATTGCACGGTCCAGAACGAGCTTGGGTTGGTTGTAGTGCACAGATATTCCAGAGGGGAAGTCCACCATTGACTTACCACCCCCTTCCGACAGTATCAATTTCATCCCAGCACCATATTCCCAAAGCGCAACGTGTATCGTGACACGTAGGAAGAAGAAGGACCATTTCCCTTGCCTGGCTGTTATTCCGGCAACAGTAGAAGAGACACTTTACTACGGGCAGGACTGTCTCCCTCTACTCTCTACCGAGTAAACACTGCCGGAGCTCTGAATTCGCATTCTCCGTTTCGCGATCTACGCATTAGCCAGACTCCATCACGTGGCCGCACGACCGTATCGGCGATACGGGATCGCAGAGGAGCGATTTCGAATCGGCGGAGATCGCACGAGTACGAATGGCGGACAACCTGCTGCCTGGTCCAGACATGCTAAAGTCCCCGACTTCTCGTATATCCTTGGAAATAAGTGCGGGACGCTCCGGGCGCAACAGCGACTCCGGGAGAATTACGTATTCGCGCGGTGATATTTTTCCTAATTATTGGATCGCCGGCGATTCGGTTCTCGTGGTAGTGGTAGATGGCGTCGTCGTCGACGGCCTCCCGATGACGGCGCCCTTGATGGTGATAGTAGGACTGATGATGATGGTGGTGGTGATGGTGCACCAGACGTTCGGGTATGCGAAGAGGAGGATGCTAGGTAAATCTAGGCAGCGGTTATTTAGTACGAGATGCGGGAGCCTACTGCTCAACGGGGTACCAGGGGATACCAAAGGGGTACCGGAGGGGGCACCAGGAGGCAAGGGGATGCCTTGGCGCTTCTCTGGAGGCGTATACACCGGGTATATATATATATATATATGTATACTGGCAGTACGTACCAGCACACGGACGGTATAACTGAAGTTCGATGACCGCGGTGCGACTTCTCTGCCGCCACTCTTCCACGGCCTTGGCGATTCAATGCCCGCACCAGATAACTCCCCGCACCAGATAATAGATTATTTCATACGTGTAACTAGTCGCTAGTAGCAGACGATGCGCAACCGTGCCTCTACGGCACATTACCTGCCGGTTATACGAGGCAGAGCCCGGAATGATCCTCTTATCATGCGTTTCGAGGAAGTGGGAATCGAGCTTCCTTCTATTCCTACGTAATAGCAGAGCGTCCCGAGGCCCGAAATCAATTTCTTTTGGAAACCTAACGCGCACGGATCGTTCCTTCTAATACGTTTTCGCACCCTCGTATCATTCGGCGAATGTCAATCCGTTTTCCATTTCAGATGTATTTCCTCATTGGTATATTTCCTGGTAATGAAAATCGTATGTATAGCACATATGCTAGTTTCCCTGTGAGATACGCGAAGGCTACGGGAGTATGTTGACGAGGGTAACGGAGTACCACGCAGTGGAGAACAGCTGGCGGGCATGTTCTTACGAACTCGATAAAAGAGGTAATGGTTTGACTATTTTCTTTTTCTTCTTTTCCGTGTTTACAGATTATAGATCGCCAGGGGTTAAAGGGGGTAGCTTGTGAGTTTCATCCCTCGTGGTAAAATTTGTCTGGAATTTTTATAGGCTCTCTCTCTATGTATATAGATATATATCTGTCTCTGGGTGAACCAGTGAGGAAGGCTGTTGCGCGAGGTCACGCGCGGAAACCGAGCTTGGCTACGGGTGTAGGGACCCGCGGGAAAATGTTACAACGCGGAAAGCAACTTCGAGGAAGTCTGCCTGTGTAGCTAATGCAAATTCATTAAAGTAGCACACAGCCAGCGAGTCGGGTCGCACGACGAAACTGATCGCAGCGGGTAGCTTTGCTGAGAACACAATTGAGCTTGAGGGGCCACGCTGGGAGAGGCTCTCTCGCTCATCCACCTAGGCCCATTGCACCTTATTCATTCGCACCGGCGCCATTTTCAATTCCTTGATATCTTAATTTTTTTTCTCATCGCCGAGTTCATCCACCCTCTGCTTTTTTTAATATTCGCGTAAACTGGCCTCGCCGAGACCTCGATAATAAGGGCGCGGACTTCCACTTGGTAATTGGTGAAAAATAAGGATAACGGGGAAAAAGAAAAAAAAAAATCGAGAGAATTACTTTTGAAAATTTTCTTTACTTCTTCAGCCCCATCTTTGACACCCTCGTCTTGCGCCCCTGAATTTAGAATTTACTGAGGGAATTGGCTTAATCCTGTATCAGCGTTTAGTACGCAGTCTGCCTTCTTTGTTGGTGATTTTATACTCGCGGGGTGGGATCTTAAGAAAAAGTATCATCCTGTACGCGTAGGTTAAGTTTGTGACTTTGAAAAAGAAAATTTGAACGAAGCGACTTCGAGGTTAATTAACGAAGGGCGATTATTCCATTAAGTGGAATTGTCGCGAGCGAAGTTTAGCAAAGGAAAGTAACGTCCGCGAGACTTTGACTGAGCGAAAATCGAGGACGACGGTTCAAGAAAACAATAAAATAAAGTGCAGTAAGAACGAGCGCAGGATCCATTGTTATATGTCAGTTGGGAATAATATATTTCTCAGGCGTTACATAATACGTGGTATTCAGATTGCTCGGTATTACCGATGACCCGCGTGCTCCGCAAAGGAAAAGATTTTTTCGTACCCGAGGAAAGAGCTAAGCAAAACCGTTTCCATGATAAAAGTAACGTTAGATCGCTATTTCGCCCAGTAGAAGTTTCATTGTAACCATATAGCAACGTCGAACAATCTCACAAGTATGGACCGTTCCCGTCGTTATGGCAACGAACATATATCTATCAACGCAGATGCTGCTGAAAATAACTGTTCGGTATTTCCGATACAAGGCAGGCTTTTACCGAGTAGACACTTTGCGTAGCACGTGCGAGCCAGTAAGAACCATAGCATTGGCTCTTAGCCTAGCGACGGCCTTTGTACGGGTATAGAAATTGGGCGTCTCCACTTTGGGAATAGGGGTCAACGGCGAGTGCGTAGACGCGTTACATTCATTCACGTAGAGTTCACAGACACGCGTCACCGGGCGATACTCGTCGAACAGAAATCCGACCTGTTAATTTGACTTATCATATCAGTCACCGAAAATGCTCCCAGAGCCCAAAGACAAACGCCGCGAACTGCCGTTAAACTTCCATGCTTACCATATATCCGACTCTCCTATACTCGATTCCTCTTGACAGCCATATTGTTTCTCGCGATTAAGTCAAAGTTCCTCGGGACTGAACTCGTGCGTGGGGAAAACCGAGTTTATCAAAGTTCGTATCCAGAGATGCTTCCCGATTAGGTGCCTAAGTTGGTATTAGATTCACTAGACGTTTACTTCTGCCGAATATTCCAGCCGAGTGGCTATGGGAAAGGAGCTCAAAATTTATCAGCATGTCGCCATACGTCATTGTCTCTTGCTATGTTTGTTCGATGCTTCGAGCGAATGAGCCGTGTAACCGTAGGCCTCTGCCATTTGAGCCCGCAGAGAGAAAAGGCGCCCCTTGCTGCCTCGTTGTACAATACGATATAATGTATTACCTTCAAGGTACGATGAAAATTGAGGAGTAGCTATTTTCTTTATTTTATATTTTTTCCCTGTCCAAATATTAAAATAAAACTTTCACTCTAAGGGGTATTGAGAAAAATGGCAATGGTATTGTTATAAGCACGTCTTCGAAGCACTGGTATAACTGTGACGTGCAACACGTCTTACTTTTCGCCTGACATTATTCAAAAGCAGTACGTGGAGTGCCGTCCCGGGAGTAGCAGGTATAGCAGTCGGGTAAAAGTTCCTGGTAATATTATCGTACGCGTGTCGGTAATTGTCAGGAAGTTTTTTCTTTTACTGGGCATAGAAGAAATATTTGCTCTTGCTCGTTCGCCTTGTGGAATGAAAGAGGTAATGCAAAAGCGTAGGTAATTTATGCGGGACTTGGTGAAAAAAATTTGTTTTGATGGTTATGGTTACTGGGATATAGTCGATTCGAGATGGGTACCTGTAATCGTGTAGTACACATTTATGGATAAATTGATTTGTCATTACCTGGCGGATGTGGAGACGACACGCACGGGACGTGCATGGGACATATACTAGTGCCTATATGGTTATTCCACGTGAGATGAATAATGACGTTTTTATTAATGCATCGCATATATATGGCTCTTACGTATATCTATATCCGAATGAATTGCACAACGAACCCATCTGGTAAATCCAACCTATTGAAGTCTCATACCGAAGCGCTATATAAGAATCTACTTGGGAAGAGAGATTGTACTCCAGATTATTTTCACCACCCTGTAGACGTATAGAGATACACAATGTATATCCCCAAAGGAACATACCTTGGCGAGCAAGATTTTAACTGGATTACACCGTTAGATTGCGTATTCACTACACAATTGCTGCCTCGTACCCAAATTCACTTGTCCTCGTCCGAGATAAACGTCCGCGAAATGAAAATTTATACCCGAAATATCTTAACGTGGCCTTTATACTTGTCTTTCCCTCCTTCGCTTCTTCCCACTGATAAGACACTTTCCGACTATCATTCTTGTGCACTGATTACCTTAGTCACTGCAGGATACGTTAAACCGCGGCTGCTTCGTTACACAAGACGCAACGACCTTACGCGTTACGGATAAACGTCGACTGGGATCCTTGTTAATTTTCTATATTTACCGGAAGTGGATGGGTTCTTCCGGTTTTCCACGGGTCTACCGAGGTCTCATCGCTCCCTCGTTCTTACTGGCACTTCGTGTGAATGTCCTCTCTTAGGAAGCTTATCGCGAAGACATCGTGTTAGCTGCTACCGAACTGATGACGTCTTTAGGCTCTGCTCTTGGTTGATGGATGAGGTTTACGTTGCGACCGTAAACCGTCTCTTTCACGAGGACTCGGAGGCAGGCTTGGAAGCAGGTGCCAATTAGGGCACAATAACGCGATAGAAGAGGTTCGAATATCGTAAACGAAGGATAACCAAATTTTTAATTAAAAAAAAAAAAAGAATTTGATACCTATTTCCACTGATCCGTATATCACGTGGTATCGAGGTGTTGGCGGTTACCTTAATTACAATTAGTACCTTTCTTTTAGGCCGTACGAAGAAAACGAGTGAGGCGTGCAGCTAATACGTAACCTGTACCGGTATACATTTTCTCGCGATGCCAACTGATCCCATCTACATCTCGCGAAGGCAACTACGGGAAATGGCAACTCGTTTGGCCAATCTGTAATGCGCGTTAATTACATCGCTTAATTGTAGCCCGTTTCTTTTCGTAATACCGGAACTGCCTAATTAAAGAGGCCAGGGGGTTTAATACAGTTAAGACCGGCGGATTAGATGAAATTTCTATGCGGACGATACAGCTTGTTTTTGTTCTTAGATAAATAGACAACTTTATTCTAAATTAATGGGCGCGGGAAAGAAAGGCACGAGAGAGACAGAAGATTCACAGTTATCAAACACGACTGTTGCATATATAATCAAAAGAGTCCGTTTGACTGGCATACGCCTACCCCTGAAATAATAGGACGTGACACGATACCTGCCCCAATTTACAGTTTACCATCCCGCGGGTCTTACAGTCTGTATGTTAATGTCAAGTCGAATGACTAACTAGTTCGTGCAGGGTCCACTGATTGCAAAAGGAGAAGATTGTTCCTGTATCACAAGTTGAACCCGTTAAACGCTCCTGGTACTCGATCCATTTCTCGGGCCTGGTAACGCATAATGCAAACGACCTACCTTCACTCTTTTCTCATTCTCATATCGATCAGCAGTACCAGGATACATAGTTGTGTGTATATATATATATATATATACATGATAGTACAAGCCATTTCAATGCTATAAACGTACTCGTAGGAGCTTTAAGGATACACGCGTTACTTTCACACGAGAGACGAACGGGCCCACCTACCGTCCGGGGTCTCATCGCGCAGCTTCAATTACTTTAAACGAGTCAGCGGCAAGCAGCACTGTCTCGCAGTAACGAGGCGTAATTCAATAGGAGGTCAGAGGGAGTGATGCAGTTCTTTTTTTTTTATTCTTTCTCAATCGTCATCTTTATTTATTTTTTTCTTTCATTTTATAGTCCCTATAGTCTCTACCCATTATTCTCGTTGCCCGGTACTTTGGAATCTATTAAAAAGTAACGCCCGAGGTTGGCGCCCGACGTACGTACCTACGTAGGTGTCATCAACGTCATCATCGCGGAAGCTTTAAGGCTCTCGCCAACCCAACCGGGAGCAAGGTTCCTCTGCCAGTGTACCTGGGAGTTACTCCCTCCTGGTACTCTTCGCTAATAATTTGTGAGTATGTGCGGCGATGTTGAGCATTCCACCTGCCAACAGCAACCGGGCACATCCCCCCACCTGGGGTACCGGCAGGAAAAGTGGCCGCACGCCTTGCAATCCCAGCATTTCTGTGTTGGTTGTGGCCGTGAACGGGGCTCAAGTCCAAGGGCACCGGAGCTCCTCAAGTGCAAGCTTCTTCGTGCGATCATCACGGCTGACGTTGGTTTCCTGGTACCCGGTCCAGATCTTCCTTCAGGTAGGACGATGACAGTAATACTGTTCTGTTTTTCGAATTTTCATTTGAATTCTGACACCCTACTGTCCCCTTGATATCGGTAGCTTGAAATTTGAGATTTTCTCGAGGATCGTATGCGGCCTTCATGTACACGGGGAAACGAGAATTTCGGAGATAGGACATTTGAATTCGATCCGTTTCATATAGGGTATTGAAATTTCGAGTGAGGTGCCGAGAGGGGACTTGGTAGAAATTGGTATTAGGCATCTCGAGATCTCTCAAGACGACGAAAGGTCAAATTGGTCCCGAGGCACAGGTCGTGTCAAAATAAATAATTGAACGTTAAACGAGAATTTTGTAATTTGATAACGAGAATTTTTATTAAATTTTTCTTTATTATTTACAAGATCAATTAATTCCTTCCGTGAAATCCTCACAACTGGAAACTGCATAGTGGCGAGGAATTTGCGAGACAGTTTGCCCGCCCAGCGTTCTCCTTACTTGATTGAAACTTTGCTAACATTGCTGAAACTTTGAGTACGGTTCAGACATTAAATGCCCTTTGCCGTGGCATTCGATGGGAAATCGAAACGAAATTGATTTTGAGAGCCGCAAATAATTAAACTTGTCTACGTGACAGAACGGAGATGGTCATTTTTAGAATGTTTAAGTTTCGGTTTGCACTCAATTGGTACACGATCCTGAGACCCTGAGACCCTGAGACTCGGGGAACGAGGGGGGGAATACTTTTCCAATTTAACTCTTCCACCCTTGTCATCAAACTTCTTGATTTCATATTTCGCCGAAGATCCGATGATCGATGCGCCGTTTCCGTGTTGCCTGACAATTTCATCGCCTATAACTGCGAATCTCTATAGTAACTACAGATACCCCGACGGCCAATTTCTGATTGCAATTTCCATTTGGAAGTTCGATGAGATAAGCTGCGCGGGAATTTCGTAAATTTCATTTCGCGAAATTCCACTGTTTCCCACGACCATTGCTAATATTCAATCCCAAATAGATTGGAGCATCCGAGCTAAATTCGCGAATTTCCCACTTTGCGATTTCTTCAAGGGGACGATCAAACTCAAGCGTAAGACACTCTGTAGTCTCACTGTCGCCCTCTTGAGAATCCAACCAACCGTTCTCGCAAAGTTATCCCCTAGAGCAGTAATTTTATTCGCGACTAACGTTGTCGCAAATTGTACGACTGACATTCAAATAATTATTCGCGAGAACGAACTTTTAACAATGCATAATGAACGTTCTGTCTCGTGTAATGAGATTTATTAAATGCCATTTTCAATAGAACGATACATATATATATATACACACGTATATATCTTTCGACGGAATAATTCGCGAAAAACAATGTTTCTGCAAATCAATCAATCCCATATTCGTCATTCTACCACCAAATTTTAAAAACGCGACAAGTCGCTAAAAGCATAATGAAAATTCGCCCCAACAAATTTTGCCGTTCATTCCCAATAATATAATTGCTTATCTGCCAATCATAATTGTAAAAAAAAAAACCATATTGCACTTTAATAAAAATATTTACGTCAAATCATTCGCGAGACCTTAATGCCTCTTCTGATAACACAGGCACGCTTTTCTTTTTTCCAGTTTTCTTTAATTGAACTAGTTTCAAGACTAAGGGCTTTATCTACATCACGGAAGAGTAGTTCAAGTTTAATGAAAATCCGCTTGAATGTTTTTAACGAACTTATAAGTCGTCGTCTATGTAACCTCATCCGCCCTAGCGTCGTTACTATCATTATTATTGTACAGGGTAACGTAGCTGTGCCAATCGCTACAAGGTACGACGGTCCCAAAGCCTTGGCTGACTAATTGAAGTCTGTCACTTTCCGGAGGTTGTTATTTTTATCTATCTTATATAGATCACGATCGTCCGGGTGGAAATGAACGTGTCAATTAGATCGATGACGATCTAATTAAACTCACAGCAAGTCTACCTAATGCGCCATGAATTATTCGGCACAATAAATTACCACGTTAACCATACAAAAATGCTATAGTAGGTACACACATAAGCTTTTTCTCCTTGGACCCAGTATACAAATTTTAGACAATCCCCAGAGCCGTCTGTTAAAGAGCTTAGAAGCTAATTAGCCTTCGGGAAAGAAGATACAGTTTGATACGGGCTTAAGCCCGTATAACTAGAGCAAAATTACGATCGATTCGATTAATTACTGTATTTCCAAAGTATATACGTCGCGCTAGTTTTTTGTCCTAAGGGATTCGGAGTTTGCAATTTTTTTTTTTGTCACTACTAATAGTAATAAGCCCAAGCTCTCTCAAGCGGGAACGCGAACGGGCATTTTATAAGAAGAGTCGGTATGGAATTTGTAGAGAGTCCTGAGGGATGAAAATAATTCCTTGGATAAACGTTGACGTTCTGCTGAAAGGTCTTAGGGATCGGGAACGAGCAGGCAGGTCCTTTCCAAAAGTTCTCGCGGCTTCCATAGAAAACGGAAGTGACAATTGTTTGGGTAAATAGTGAATGGTCGCCATACTCAAGGCAGTGTATGTATACTATAGTATATATATATATAGGGAGTATATTTAATACAAGTCTTTAATTCGGAAACGGGCAAAAGCGTTCAGAACCAAGCGGCTCGGATCGATCACTCGTTAAAGGGTTTAAATAGCACTTACGGTCGACGAGCTTAAGGCACTGTTTTCATCAGACTGTACTCAGAAAACCAGGACGCTCTTGAATTTAACGCGAGAGGAGTATTCGTAACTCTGCAAATCCGCGTAAGCATCGTGCTCTGAGAATTTACACACAAAGGAGCAAAGCATCACTATGGCGCACTGGAAGGCAAAGTGCACTCACCTCTATTTTTGGTATATATGTATATATATATATATATACACAATCGGAAGCGATCAAATGGAATAGTCTGTATATAGATGAACAATAATTTTAAAAATTATCGATTAAATAAAAAAAAATCACTTTCGACATGAAAATTCTTATATTTATACAAACATATATATATATTTATCATTCCTCAATTTTTCAAAGTTTCTTTTCGTATAATAAAATTCGCGAAAAATTCGTATCCCGTCCGAACGAGCACACAAGGCGGGCTCGGAAGTTGGCGAGGAGTTTGCCTTTGCACGACAGTGTGAAAAACGGCAGGGCATAATTCGTCGTTAAAGCCCCAACCGGGGTAAACATAATTTCGCGCGCTGAGATGCTTGATAAAACGGCATGGATATACCTTGAATTGAGTTTAATAAGACCGGGAGAAAGATGCTTCCGCGGATGGTAACGGTAACAGCGTATACAGGGTGTCTACGAAAAATGTGAACATTCCACATACGATATCATACAGCCACTCCGAGCGTTATGATAAAGTTCCAATAATACGCCGATAACATTCTACGCTGATGGTAAATGATAAAAATTTACAAAAAAAAGTACAGACAAAGTTAAATGACTATGATCAGCTGTTAATCACAATAGTGATTAACAGGTGATTTTACGGTACCATTATATAATACCGATCTGTATAAAATAATCGTGAGAGAGTATCACACGTAACTTCCGGTTACGTTGGCATCCCACTGCACCCCCCTCGTCCAGGCAATTGGATAGGTTCCCTTGAAGATACGCGCTTATCATGCGTCGTTCCTAGGTCGAGACTGGAATTCTGATAAGAGACTGTGAAAAAGACTGTAGGCTACTTCCGCTTCCAGATGATTGTTTGCGAACGGTTAATAGCCCCGTCGGCTATACGAAACCACCTAAGACTCCGAGGATCGCTCTTGTTTCAGCTCGCACGCCGTTGCCTCTCCGAGCTCCCGATCTTTCGTCTCCTTTCACTACGCAGTCTTCGTGCCGTGCATAGGTATCTGCGTCCTTCTCGAAAGTCATTGTCTTTCTCTCGTTCCTCTAGGTAACGCGCGTCCATTACCTCCTGGGTCTTCTCTTTGGCCTTCGTGTCTTCCCTATGAAAAATTATGCGTCCTCGGAGGCGAACATCCGTTTTAGACGCGCACCGGCGTAATTGAAGACTTCGGGGCGTGAATGGGAATGCCACGTGGAAGGTCAAGAGAAATTAATAACGTGAACCGTTACGTTACCGAGGAGCGTACAGTGTCGTCCAGCCACCCTAAAAGTCTGTATTACGTGAACGAGACGCCTACCGGACGTGCCCGATGCTCATGGAAATTCATCTCCGAGGAAATCGACCTTTATGTTTTTCGTAACGGTGCACGCACAACGCGCCTCCGAATTTCATCGAATCGTATACGCGGAACTCGTTAACTCCTTTGAGAAAAATTACAGTTATGCCAACTACGTATCATCACTTTGGTGGTCAGCGAGCTGAATGGGGACAGAGGGGAGGGCGGTGAAAAGTAGGGGGTGGTGGGGTTAACGTATCGTTCCGAGATTGAATGAAGTCTGCTTTTCACGGAATATCCTCGGTTCACTGTGGATTATTACTATGGGTGAGTTCGGTCGTCACGTGGCTGGAGTATGAAACGTTTTGACGAGGCTGAAAAAAAAAAAGAGGAGCGAGACCAGAGAGCAGATAGTCAGGGGGCCGTGAGAGAGAGAGAGAGAGTGAGGTAAAACGAGCAAAACGAAAGGAAGAAAAGAGACGAATAAAAGTAAATAGTCGAATCGTTCACGTGGCTCCACATTTAAGCCGGTTTTTCAAAAAGCGTTTGACGTCCTTACGAGCATCGTCGTAAGACGTCCGCTCGAGGATCCTCGCTGGGGCCGTGATGTGAACAACCTTTCTATATCAAAGATGACGCAATTATTACAGGCTCGTTAGCATAGGCGAGTGCGTGCAGGTGCAAGAAGACGTTTCGTATACGTATCGGTGTCTTATGTGTATAATCACGTGGAAATATAGACGGTATATGCGCGAGGTATGTCTAGTAGCAGCCCATTACCTTGGTGCAGCGGGTATCGCGTTAATATGGCAAAAAATACCGTGATCGTGGATATGTAGCACGATAACTGCGTGCGA